TCTTACTGATGTCTCCTGAAGGGTATGTATCTGATAAAGTTAGTATATCTTGCACAATACATCCTATAAAGTTTCAATGATATAATTAGGTTATATGCTGTATGGAGCAACAGTTAGATTCTCTATATGCTCTGTATTTGTATTAAAAGAAACTACAGCATTATCATCTTCCCTCCCTCGCCTTTTTTTTTTTTTTTTTTTTTTTTTTTTTTTTTTTTAATTCCTTTCCAAGCCAGCTCAAATCTCTCCACTGATTTCAGCAGACTCTGGAACAAATTCAAACAAATGGACAAAGTCTTGGTCCTGCTGAAATTAATGGCAAAGTTCCTATTGTACTGGATTTTGGACAGTACAAAATTCACCTTTGGATGAAAGAGAACAAACAATTCAAAGCCTCCTGGAACTAATGAAAATCTGTCAATTGCTGTCAGCTAGATTTGCATCAATGTAAGATAAAGTAACACATACTTGGGTAAGACAGAGGCAAAACCCCTTCAAATATGGTGTGAAAACAGTTACGTCTCTAGTACAAGAGCAATTTTCATCACATAATGAAAAGTAAAGCTTAAAAAATTATTACCCCTGTAAAGGTGACATTATGGACTATGTCAGCTTTTGAGATGTGGTCATTTTAAAAGCCAACAACCTTGATAATGTCCTTTGGAGATTCTTGTTTATTAATAGTGTACGTTAGGAATCAAGCAATCATAGAGAGTGCAATTAAGAGCATAATCACAGATATTTTTGACATCTGTCTACTTATAGGTTTCATGGCATTTTTTGCATCTCCCCCCCTGCAGCCCAACGTCTTCAATTAATTTATCATGACCATCTGTGTTGTAATTTCTGCTGCTCAGCTTGCCTTTCTACATCTTTTTTTTTGCTGAATATTTCATGACACTTCATAATTTTTACTCATAGCGCTAAAAATATGGAACTAATATTTGCCCGGTTAACTTGCTCGGTTAAGATAATCAGCAATTAAACAGACAACTACACTTCTGTTAAATGATTCTTTGTAATGGCGAACAGAAAGGCAAGAAGGAAGCAACAACATTTTAAAAGCTGTGTATCAGCACTGGCTATCATTTTCTGGCTCTACATATTTTTGATGCACAGAGGTAAAATCTTCTGCCAGCTACAGCAGTACGCAGTCTGAAACCCCAGTTTACAGGATGTTTCAGGGGGAAGGGGATAGATACATTCAGGGCTAAAGGTTATTTAGTTACTGTGCTCTGGATAGTCTCCATGAGTATAAGTGGTTTTGAGGGCTTTAGCTAGCTACACTCACTGTGTTGGGGCTAAGGATGCTCTGAAGTACATAAGCATCAGTGTACATCCAGGATCTCTTCACTCATTACAGTATATCATAAGGAATAAGCAGTTAAAGCTGACTCCACTGAGTGGGCAATGCATGCAAAGAAGAAACACTTGTGTTTACTTCTTAGTGCCATCAAGGTTAGGGGTATAAATGCTCCTAGTAGGTAACTCCTGCCACTTCCCCACAACAAACACTTTCTACTGCTTTCCTAGAGTCCTTTAAGATGTTTAGCTTGGGGCATGATACAAACCTTTTATCTGAAGTAACTGCTTCTGCCTAATTTTCTTTCCTTAAATTTCTTCCTTTACTCTAGATAATACTAATTTTAAGCAATCCTTTTCCACTCCTGGCATTGTAGCACCCTGTGATTCTGTTTTCTATGGCTTCAGGATCTCTAGGTTTTAGTAAACCATAGCAACTGTCATCTTTTCCAAAAAGAGGGAAGGAGAGCAAAAAACCAACAACAGAGCCTACTCAGATACAGTAACAGGCCTGTCACTCAGGAGCTTGTATGAAGTGATGGGAGAAAGGCTGTTCACTTTAGCAAGAGCTATCCTTGCAAAAACATTAGGGTATGTTTATCCAAGGCAAAAGTCCTTGGTGAAGTACAACCCTCTCTGCAACAGTCCTATCTAATAGGCTTTCCTGAGAAAGACCTGTATACCGTGTTTTTCATCCAGCTGTGCCCTGGAACACAATATCCAAGTATCTACCACAGGTACTGACCCAGGGTACTATTTTCTGAGTTGATATTTTTAACCTTCTGGACTGGTGGTCCCTGCTGGCATACCTCTCAGGTGAGGTCACACCTCGCAGCAGCTGATGTTTCTAATCCGAGTATTTAAGCCTTGCTGGGCACAGTCCCATGCCCATGACCCAGCAATAGCATGTAGAGGGAGAAAGGGGCAGCCCCACAGTGAGCAAGGAGAGGAAGATGTATTTGCTAGAAAAGACATGGTAAAACTGCCATTGCCAGTTTTTCTCAAATAAGCCTCAGCTACAAAAAGTCTGGGGACTGCTGCTAAGACTGAATGAACTTTCTCTTTTTTGCTCATAGTGCACTTCCGTGTGGGTGGGCTGACTGGATTTGCAGTAAACAGCAGGAAGATCTTTCCAGTGAATGAAAAACTGCTTTGCTGAGGGAAAACAAGCACCACAAAAATATGACAAATAACTCTGGAAGTGGCACTTTTCTAAACTGGGGCTTGAGCCTATGAAAAAGGCAACATTCCCTCCATGAGCACCATTATATTCATTGACACACTTCACCAACTTAGCCAAAAAACAGCAGGCCCAGTATAACCCTACCACATTATTGTCAGTGATTAAGTGAGATTATTGGCTTGTGGTTGGGCCCATGCAGAAAACAGTGGCAGCATGTTGCTACCAATTGAAGAAGCACATCTTTAATGCCAGTGTCAGAGGTCTGTAACTTTGACATTGAAATATAAAGGCTCTGCAGCTAACATCACAGGGGCTACAGCTGCGGCACAGCGCTAGTAATGTGCTCAGGTAAGTCAGGACAGCATCTGATAAATCGTGAAAAATAGCAGTCCCAAATGGACAGCGCTACAAATTACAATATGGTGAAACTTTATTGTCATGACGTGTCCTGGAAAATGTACCACTGAGTAAAGCTTTACTACATCTATGTTACCAGAGTGCTGCTACTAAGCAACTGATGATTTGGCTGCTGACCGATCAGGTAAGTTGTATCAGTACAACAGTGTAAGAATTCTTGGTTTCAACTGCTAAATAAGGTATAGGAGAGCTGAATGACTTTTCCGTGGTGAGGCTTATATATCTGCAAATAAATTATTCTGAAGATATTCCCCAGTCATCAGTGTCTCTGATTCATAGCAGGAATTTCCCAGGAATTCACTGCATTGAAAATATAGCAACTTATTTACCTGGTACCTAAGTATTTTCAAGATGGGGTTTGTTCTGCGTTAGTCAGAGTTGGTGACTTTTGAAATAAGTTTTAATGGATGAAAATATAAAGGTCTTTAGCCATGTAAGATGACTTTTAATTAAAACTCAACAATCCCATGTTGAGTAGAACGTACCCAGAATATTATAAACCTCTGCAAATTGGGTAGTATGCTGGGCTGGATTTGAAGCTCAGGACAGATACATAATCCTCCACAAATAATTAGAGCAGAAAATGCTTCTAATCTCTTTGTTAGTCTGGTTAAAAAAAAAAAAAAAAAAAAAAAAAAAAAAAAAAAAAAAAAAAACAAAAAAAAACCAAAAAACCCCCCTCCTCATACATTTTAATTTAGACTGCACTGGGCGTCTTTTAACCTGTAATTTTTTGGCTGGTCTCTTCTGATTTATGCATGTACTGTAGACATACATGGTCTGAAATGCCACTGTCTTGCAGCTGTGTAAGTACAGCATAAATACAAAGGTGTCAGAATTTGAGCCCTCATTTATGAAAGCTTTTCAGCAGGAACTTGATTGACTTTAAACACATGCTTAGTTTTGACACGGCCCTGAGTGGTGTCACCAGTCTGTGTGCTTTCCTTAACACAGGCTGTAGCTCCATGACCCTCTGGCACAGCTTGACTCCCCTTGAATTTTGTGGGGGTTTGGCCAATGACACTGGGGATGTTTCTGTGCATTTTTGCACAGAAGAGGCAGGCTGAGGAGCCGTGGGCACAGCCCTGTCCCCTGACACGAGGTACTCTGCAAGGTGTGGGGGCTTGCTCACAGCCTGGGTAACAGCCCATCTCTCAGGTGCTCTTCAGGCCAGTTTTTGATCCTTTCCATCTCACTGACCCCTTATTAAATACATCTCTCCTCTGACTTCTTACTAAATACAATCACTTCTGAGGATTTCCAATATTCACGCACATCCCCCGCAGCTCCCTGTGCCCAGACCCCTTCTTGGAAGGGGCTTATTTCCCAGATGAAGCACTGCCCTCTGGCACTGCCTGTCCTTCACCATCCCAAGAGCACAGCTCCCCCTCCTCCTCGGCCCCTTGGCCTCCCCCGTGCCCTTCCAGCTCCCGTGCCGGCCCCTCATCCCTCCTCGTCCCTCCACACCCCGTGAAACCTGTGTGACTTCGGTCACCCAAGCCCCTCGGACAGCTGTAGCTACTACCGAGGGCCCTTGGCGATAAATAAATCAAATGGGTCCCTTTACAGCGCCGTTATTTATCAGTCCAAGTTTAACCTACAGAGGTAAGTCCCTGCGGGGGGCTGACGCCGTCCTGGGGCCCGTGGCCGGTCGCAGGCCCCGGCGGAGCGCGCCGCCCCTTCAGCCAAGTTGAGCGGAGCCGCCGCTGCCCGCCCGCTGCCGCCAGCTCCAGGCTC